GTCAACCGATAACGATTTCCTTTCATGTCGACAATCCATCCTGTCACAGTCGGTATCAGTTAGAACGAATGCCTGCGAAGCGTTGACTCGAATCATCGGCTCTGAGAAAGACGAAGATGTTGAAACGTTAACCGAATGAAACTTATGTAGGAGCTTCGGGTAAGCTTAAAAATTCAAAGAAATATCTTGCAGTAACTCCCACGACCGACTTTCTATTAACCTCGGCATTGATCAAGTAATTCTTCATATTTTTGTTGAGCAAACGCGAGGTGTTATTGTTCTTTATTCACGAATAAGCTGACGTTTAGGCGGATTTCGCCTTCCTCAGAGCCTGGAAAGATAAAGTTGACAGCAATCTACTCGGCCAGACGCCTCCATAACCAAACAAAGAAGCTCTAAACCAAGATTTCAATCACATTGAACACAGCTCTGCACACTCACCGCTTTCTATGAGGTTTCCACTAAGTATGTCACGTAGAGACCAACCGCACAGAAATCACGTGGAAGTATAATGTGCCCCTCACATCAGAATAGCAGTTTTATACACTGCCCTATATCACGCGTGATAATGAGGCATTCTTCCCTGCGGTTCATTTTCGGATTTCTGGAATTAATCCAGAATACCTCGAGAGTTTTTCGCCCCTGTGCTCTTGATTCGCGTGCGAGGATCGTGACACATACTTCAAAGTCGTCCCCGTTATGTTTCTGGGTCCTATGCGTGCCTAGCGGTGTATTTGGTCTATGTTTGCCGGCTAGGTGTTCTTTTATGCGGACACAGAGGGGTCTACCCGTTTCGCCAATGTATTCGTCACCGCACGTCTTACAGAAGATCAGGTAAACTATACCCGAGCTCATGCAATCACCGTCTCTACCACTGGGGCAAATATGCAATTTTGAGTTGCACATAGACGGTCATATAGGCGGTTACGAACTAGCTGGCGCTTAAGATTACTCGGTGGTATTTCAACTACGCTTACCGAATTCTCTAAGCCCGCCCTTCTTAAGTAGCGTTTTATAGCTGTGCTTATATCATTTGAGATGAAGGGTAGGATAAACGGGACCCTTCTATCGCTAGAGTTGTCGTTTAGAGGCCTACGATTTGCTCTACACCTATCCTGAGCTACAGTTTCGTAGCCATTAGAAATGGCTATTTGCCGTGCCAAGTTCCGGGACTCCTCTCTCTGCTCTTTTCCCGTGCACACGTTGGTTGCTGTTCGAAATATGTTTCTTATAAGCGCCCTTTTCGTGTGAGAGGGGTGAGAGGAGAGGTAATGAACCAAGATGTTTTAACTACTTGGCTTTCGGTACCACTTTGTAATGTAGCCATTTTCTGACAGGTCAATTTNGGTTACGAACTAGCTGGCGCTTAAGATTACTCGGTGGTATTTCAACTACGCTTACCGAATTCTCTAAGCCCGCCCTTCTTAAGTAGCGTTTTATAGCTGTGCTTATATCATTTGAGATGAAGGGTAGGATAAACGGGACCCTTCTATCGCTAGAGTTGTCGTTTAGAGGCCTACGATTTCCTCTACACCTATCCTGAGCTACAGTTTCGTAGCCATTAGAAATGGCTATTTGCCGTGCCAAGTTCCGGGACTCCTCTCTCTGCTCTTTTCCCGTGCACACGTTGGTTGCTGTTCGAAATATGTTTCTTATAAGCGCCCTTTTCGTGTGAGAGGGGTGAGAGGAGAGGTAATGAACCAAGATGTTTTAACTACTTGGCTTTCGGTACCACTTTGTAATGTAGCCATTTTCTGACAGGTCAATTTGGACGTTCAGGAATGGAAGCCATTTTCTTTCGACTTTTTTCGGGTGAACTTGATATACTCTGACTGTGCGTTTAACAATTCGAAACATTTGTCCATTTCCTCTTGTGCTGAGCAGAGGACAAAGCAGTCGTCTACATACCTACAGTAGAGTAGCGGCCCGAGATCAGTCACCGGTGCTTCCACCTTAGACCCTTGCATTTATGTCTAATCAAGTTCACCCGAGAAAAGCCGAAAGAAAAATGGCTTCCATTTTTGAACGTACAAATTCACCTATCAGAAAATGGCTACATTACAAGATGGTACCGAAAGCCAAGCAGTTAAAACATCTTGGTTCATTACCTCTCCTCTCACCCCTCTCACACGAAAAGGGCGCTTATAAGAAACATATTTCGAACAGCAACCAACGTGTGCACGGGAAGAGAGCAGAGAGAGGAGTCCCGGAACTTGGCACGGCAAATAGCCATTTCTAATGGCTACGAAACTGTAGCTCAGGATAGGTGTAGAGGAAATCGTAGGCCTCTAAACGACAACTCTAGCGATAGAAGGGTCCCGTTTATCCTACCCTTCATCTCAAATGATATAAGCACAGCTATAAAACGCTACTTAAGAAGGGCGGGCTTAGAGAATTCGGTAAGCGTAGTTGAAATACCACCGAGTAATCTTAAGCGCCAGCTAGTTCGTAACCGCCTATATGACCGTCTATGTGCAACCCAAAATTGCATAATTTGCCCCAGTGGTAGAGACGGTGATTGCATGAGCTCGGGTATAGTTTACCTGATCTTCTGTAAGACGTGCGGTGACGAATACATTGGCGAAACGGGTAGACCCCTCTGTGTCCGCATAAAAGAACACCTAGCCGGCAAAAAAGAACCAAATACACCGCTAGGCACGCATAGGACCCAGAAACATAACGGGGACGACTTTGAAGTATGTGTCACGATCCTCGCACGCGAATCAAGAGCACAGGGGCGAAAAACTCTCGAGGTATTCTGGATTAATTCCAGAAATCCGAAAACGAACCGCAGGGAAGAATGCCTCATTATCACGCGTGATATAGGGCAGTATGTAAGACTGCTATTCAGATGGGAGGGGCACATTATACTTCCATGTGATTTCTGTGCGGTTGGTCTCTACGTGACATATTTAGTGGAAACCTCATAGGAAGCGGTGAGTGTGCAAAGCTGTGTTCAACGTGATTGAAATCTTGGTTTAGAGTTTCTTTGTTTGGTTATGGAGGCGTCTGGCCGAGTAGATTGCTGTCAACTTGACCTTTCCAGGCTCTGAGGAAGGCGAAATCCGCCGAAACGTCAGCTTATTCGTGAATAACAACATAAAGAACAAATAAAGAATAAAGAAAAAAAGAACGAATAAAGGACAATAACACCTCGCGTTTGCTCAACAAAAATACGAAGAATTATTCGAAGAAATATATTGGTTACTCGCTCCGTTGTTAGGTGAGAACCGATTCACGAATAGCACCTTATATATTTCATAAAAACTGTAGACTACACATTAAAAAATGGATAAACAGAGGTTCGGGTCATACAAAGTCGTTCATATTTATACCAGGGGGTGTTGTCGCGGACTTCTTGAGTATGGTAAATAGTGCACACATCACGTCGTTTCCTTATGGTGCCTGGTAGATGCAATTTTGTCATCCTTCGGTGTTTACTTAATATCAGACTTAACTTAAGGTCACTAAATTATGGAGGATAATGTTGGATGGCCTTGCGTTGACTTTTTATGACATCGCGACGCCGTAGTGGTCGAGATTTGATGATGCTGTTAGTATGGAAATAGCAGAACATAGAAAGGGGTGTATTCCCACGTCGCTGCCTCACACTCTTTTACTATGCGAAGAAGAGCTCTCTGATTCAGAGCTGTGGCATAGAGAAATGAACTTTCACATCGCAGCGAATGTTTTTAAATTTTTTACTCCCATTTACAGTGGTATTTCATGATACTATACGGAGGACCTTTGTGAAATAATCGAATAATGAGTTGAATCATTTCCACAATATCGGCCACAAAGACACGTTCATTGTACATTGTTATTTCTTCTGTGGTGAATAATTCCATGATTTCGAAGAAAGCGACAGTCATCAAAGGCACTTCTATATAAATAGGTCCACCACGAAGTGGACTCTGTCATTCACGATCTTCTGTCACAGCAGGTCCTATCAACCGCTGTTCTCGAAACAGCATTGCTTTCTATGCCTGAACTCAATCAGTTCCACCTGATATGGCACCATGGTGGATTCTAACCACTCTAGGTACGCTGCCATTATCGAAATCCGTGTAGGCTACAGTAAATGACAACGACGAAGCTGGAAAAGGAATTCCTAGAGCATAAAATGCCCCTCTTCTTTATGCGATTACTTTCTCACAATATAGTTGTTTTCTTACTTTGAGAACATTGATGGAAATCGTAAAGTGTCGTCCGTGTTTATTACATATTCGAAGGGGTCACCATGATTAGTAGCCGCACAAAAACTTGAGTTGATTAAGATGTCGTAAATTCTGGTATAATTTTAGCTTCTCGCGGATCTGTCCTTATAACTAAAGTAACTGACAAAAACCTTGAAAAACTCTATTTTCTAAGGCGTTGGTATATTAGCAAGCTGAGGAAGTGCCACAACCATCGGAATCGCAACAATTCAGATAGATCATCTACCATGTAGAATTAGGTGGAAAGTTAGTGCCAATCAGAGCAGCGTCCAGTCCATTCGAGTTGAGGGATAGGAGGATAAAGCTCTCGGCGTTGATCAATTCCTGAGGGATACGCCATGCATTCAACTTCACTAACTTTCGGAAGGCCTGGTGGGCTATGGGCGCTGGGGCGCGCCACGTGTGTGTCACAGTGGCGCAACCAACCACTGCGCCACACGCGCCCTGGGGGAAAAGTAGAAAAACTTTTCTGTGATCAGCACTGTGAATTAAAAGCACCAAAATACAAGTAGCAGTTATAATGCTGAGATATTTGCAAAACTCCGGACCGCAGGTGCTTGCGGTGAGGAACGAACGCGCTATTGTCCTTTCCGGCGGGTAACGCGTTCACCACCACACCATGCGGGTCCTTCGTTTCACCAGTCTCTCAGCTAGTTCTATATAAGTAACATTTTCCGATCTCCCGAATCACATTCCCTCCGTGACAAAAGGAATACCCATCGATATGTTTAAATATAGAGATTCCAAACGTTTATATGGCCTCTATCGACGAAAACTTTCAGGATGTATAGTGTGGTGTTTGTTGTCACTATGCTGGCGTTGTGTACTGCGTTGCGTGAGCAGTCGTACGCCGTCAAAGGCCGACTCATCTGCGGAACTGCACCAGCTGCCAACGTCAGGGTGAAGCTATACGACACCGACACCGGTTAGTGTCTTAGTGATGTTTGATACATAGAAATCCTTCATGAAATTCGCAATAGTCGACGACGACCTAGAAAAATCATAAACGAGGATTGGTTGTGATCAATACTTGTTTAAGCAATGAAAAAGATGTCACCAAACATAACTGTTACACCTATGAAACACAATGTCCCGTTTCAAATTCTTCGGCTGACGTTACAGTGTCACCCTCTCTCTTCTTCTATTTCTCTCCTTTTTTCTCTCTTTCTCCTTTAACTCTCTCATGTACCTGTAACCGAAACTAAGAAAACAGCCTACATCTGCACAATGAAAGCAAAAAAGGCAATTATTTGACACTTGATACTTGAACGGCCCGTCCCCACTGGTTGTGCGGCCTCCAGCATAATCACCATTTTTCGGATACATGCTGATTAAGCCATTGCGGTTCCTTGGAATCCCGAGGTCAGCTTGGCCCAAGTCTGCCCCAGGTGTTCACCACCACGGGCAGTCGCAGCCCTTGTGTATCAGAGGAAGATTTGCCACCATGCGACTTTGATACCAGGACGGTAGTGGATCATGGTATTGGTTCACTCTTAGCTAGGCTTTCTGATGGAAACGCCGGACTTCTTCTCAGCTTGGGAGACCCTGCGGGGAGACGAATCCTCTCGCGGTACATGGCAGTCCAACACCCAGGAACCCAGCCACGATGGGGCAGTAAAACCGTTAGGAGGAAAAAGGCAATTACTGTCATGTAAATAAAAACATTGCTGTAAACGACCAGTACTTTTGAATAAAATTTGTCACTGTTTAGTTTAACTCCCAGTAGAAATCTAAAAGTCCTAAAATTATGAGTGGGCAATTCGACCGATATCTGCTCGGTATTCATAAACTTCAACGGAAATATAAAATGAATGAACTATGGAGTTTCTAAAGATGTGTTTTACAAGTAAAAAAAGGATTATAAAAGAAACCTGTCTTTAAGGTCTCGATCCAGATGACTTGCTTAGCCAAGGTTACACTGACGTTAATGGAGATTTTTCTTTATCTGGAGGGACCACTGAGACAACTATGATTGATCCTCTTCTCATAATTTATCATCAATGCAACGACGTAACCGCAGTAGGAGGTCTGGCTAAGGTACTTCTGTTAAATGCTATTCGCTATTTTTATTGCCATTAAGGATAATATTTGCATGAAGCATTTTTGCTTCTGTCAACTGTTTCTTGTCACGTATAATTCGATTTTAGCCTGGCAGTCGCATGGTATCGTTCAGACTTCCCAGTAAGTATATAACCAACGCGAGAGTACCTACGAAAACCATGGATATCGGGGTATTGAACTTGGAACTGGCCTACCACGAAGAAGGACGAGTTATGATAGTTAGCTAGATCCCATATGCTACCTCATAAGTACTCTTTTTATAGACATCTCTATAAATAAAGAAGCGTGGTGCATTTTCAAATATACTCAGCAAAGAAAGTAGTGCATGCATACTCATTGTTCGACTACAGTTCTCAGATATCCTAAACAAGTCATTAATGGGTATGATCGATCATGCTTACTTCATTGATAATTGACTTGTCTGTCTTTGCAAAGAACTATGCGCCAACAAGCATAATTCCATTCTATTGATGCAATACCCCTGGGAAGACCTTTCCATTGTTTCGGAGGTCTCGTGCCGTAGAAATTCCACAGTAGATCTCTACAGCAATCAATCACCACGTATTTTGGATCTAAAGCACCAAAACTTTGAAACCTTATTTCTTCAGCTGCTGTTGCGATTTCCGAATTCGACATCTGGAATCCCAATTGCGAGCAAATTAATGTGTGGAATCACCTCCTTCATGGAAAGAATCTTCTAGCACAAGCGCACATTCGTTTTGGAAATTACCTTTTCGCAAAAAAAAACAACAAATCAATTCTTTGTCTTTCCAGAAGATTTTAACCGCATACACAGTTTATTGGCCAAAAAGTGGACACGTGTAGCGTTGCTTAGAGGTGTCCTGTAATACACAGGTGTTCGATCCTGCGCCCCAGGATCACCAAGCCTTCCATACCTCTGGGGTAGGCAAACTGGCACCAGATCGCCTCAGAGGTTAGAAGCACTGACTCGATGCATCGGTAGGCTACCGCGAGTCATTGTAAAGGCCAGATATGCACTCAATCACCTCTAATGATGCTCAGTGAGCTCGAGTGCATGACGCATCAGTCGGGGATTGATCAAGGCCAAGAGCCTTATCCTTTTATGTTTATGGCGAGAAATAATTGGTGTCTCTACTTCTTAAAGAAACATTTGAGCCTAGAATAAAAGTTGCTCATGAGAAAAAACGTGAGTATTGTTTTCACATAAAATTTAGTAGGCACTTGTAGCAGTTTCCAGGATCGACTTTCTCTTAACCTCGACGTTGGTATATGAATGCGTCGTTTTCTTGTTCAGCAATCGCGAGGTTGTTATACAGCATACATTTACTTCCATAGGAAAACACAATACAATACAACACTAGCCGAGGTTTCGGCAGAATCGCCTTCTTCAGAGCCTGGAAGGGTACAATCATTTGCAATTTACCAAGCCAAACGCTTCAATAATACGTACAAAAAGATGAAAAACTCTGTAACAATTACATGATCAACAGCTCCTTGAAAAACCTACCGCTTTTAACGTGACTTCTACTGAGAAAGATTAGAATAGCTGATCATAGTCGCATACTGTTGAAGACCGCACCACCATACATCAGAAATTGATGCGAAGATACACCGAGTCAAGTCGCGCGATTCGTCCTTTAGTTCCCTTTTCGCGCACACAGAGGTTATTACTTGAAACATGTTGCTCACGGTCGTGCTCTTTGTATGCGAAGGGTGGGAAGAGAGAGATAAACAGCGATGTTCTTACAACTTGGTTACGCTCCACAAAGCCACAGCGGAAAACAAGTGGCCAGAAGAGAGACAGCGACCTATTCCTAGGTTCTAGTCTTTCTGCTTTCTCCTTCTTACTGTATAACGCCTTCAGCGTATAAACCTTCAGTAATTCAGTATAAATTCAGCATCAATTTAGTTTACACGGCAATTTAGCCAAGATAATCAGTGAACACCGTTTGCCTTCATGTTCCATTTATTGGAAATATGTAGTACCAGTTTTCAGCTTTTTTTAGGCTCCAGTAATGGTAACCTTGTTATTGTTTGCAACCAAGGTGGTGAATTCGTGAAATTTCGTGCATTTATTAACCAAACAAATTTACTTGACCAAATTCAGGTCAAGCGTTTCTACTACAAAAAACACTTCATACTTGAATGGCCCGCCCTGACTGGTTGTGCGAGCCCCAGCATAATTTCCACTTTTTTTCGAAGTTTTGCTGGTTTAACCATTGTAACGCCCTGAAGTCCCGAGGTCTGCTCCAAGTCGTCACCACCACAGGCAGTTGCCACCCTTGTCGATCAGAGGAGAATTTGCCACCATGCGACTAGTTTGATACCAGGACGATGGTGGAACCTGGTATTGATTTACTCTTAGCTAGGCCTCCTGACGGAAACGCCAAACTTCTTCTCAGCTCGGGAGACCCTGCCTGGGGATGAATCCGCATTGTACATTGCAGTCCGACACCCAGGAACACCTCTCAGCCACAATGAGGCGGTAAACCGCTGGGAGAACTACAAAAAAATACATGCAAAAAACACGTTTAATTGATCACTGTCTTCCACATAAAGGTTTTTTTTTTGAGCAAACGCGAGGTGTTATTGTTCTTTGTTCACGATTAAGCTGACGTTTCGGCGAATTTCGCCCTCTTCAGAGCCGCTTTCTATGAGGTCTCCACTAAGTACTACTTCAGCTACGTCAGTACTACGTCAGCTTAATCGTGAACAAAGAACAATAACACCTCGCGTTTGCTCAAAAAAAAAAATACGAACAAAATCACTTGATCAATGCCGAGGTTAATAGAAAGTCGGTCGTGGCAGTTACATAAAGGTATGTATGTCACCAATAATAAAGCATGAAGCTCTCGGCGTTGAGCAATCTTCTAGGGGTGCGCAGTGCATTCGAGTTCATTAAGCAGCATCGTTGGAAGTGACCGAATGCATATCTGGTCTTTAAAATGACTCGCGGTGGCCTACTGATGTATCGAACCAGTGTTGCTATCCTCCCAGACAAGTCTGGTACCAATTTTGCCTACACCGGAGGGATGGAAGGCTTGGTGGGCCATGTGCTCGAGGATCGATTCCACGTGTGTGTTGCAGGGCGCCTCCAACCACTGCGCCAGCACCCTTGCGTCACCGATAAAGTAAGAAAAATAGTTGAAATATATGTGCCAAAACGACAACTTTCAATTCGAAAAATAATGGAATATTTGAACACGGTAGGTAAATAGAGTAGTTCTTTCGATTTTCACATTTTGCTTTAAAATTGCTACATCCGTGCTCGACATCGGTCCTAGTAATCCAGAACAGTGTTTTATTCAAAGAATATGGCACTACACACATTTCTCAATCGATATTTTTTCTTAAATAGGTGCCCATTTGTAAACACAACCATGACTTCCTTTCGCTATTTCATGTGCAACATTCTATTCGTGTGCAACACTACTAGGCAGTTAGAGAAAGATCAGCACCGAAAAACATGCAGATTAGACTACGCCTCCTAGTGTAGTTTCCGCATTTGGGGGTGGACCATTTCAAGTAAAGACATGACTAATGTTTTCGAAGACGAAACATAGTCAAACATTACAGGACTAGTGTCCAACGTCTTCTCAACGTCGCAAGCCTGCATGTAAGTTAATTGAATCAATTCTCATACTTTATGCAACGATGGCACAACGATTCCAATTTTCTTGAATTACGAAATTCAAAATAAGAATCCTATAACTCTTCTTGGTTCTCATTTAAACGATTAGTTGAATCGCCTCCTAGATTCATGCCAAACCAAACACAGAGAAACTTCGCCAAGAATATATTATTTACTGGTTGAGCAATTTCTACCTAGAGTTCTGCGATAGTCATGCGAGGGAACTTCTCCACAAAGTCGCCTCGTTAGGATCGGCTTGAGGTTTACCATCTAGCGGTCCTGGTGACTTCCGGGCTTTTGCACGATTATATCAAACTTCTACTCAGCTTGACAGCTCACTGGGACAACATTTCACCTCGATGAAGCGGTTGCTTCTACAATATTACTCTTTGCTACTTCAACAAGACCATCTTTTTTGTTTGTTATTACTTGCATGACCCGCCATTAAATCTACTGTGCGAGTAGCAGCACTTCTTGCGTTCAACTGGTTCATCCTCGCATTCATCGTCCAAAAAAGCCTCCAAATATTTCACATGCTGTTGTAGATGCTGCTTAACGAATTTGTCTTCTTTGTGAACGTCATAGAATGCTGGTTGAGTCGATTTTTCATGAATTTTTGGAGATAGCTCTGTTAGGGCGTTTCCACGTGGATTAGAGCAGGACGTCTCGGAGGAGTTCGAATTTGTGCGCTACTTCCTGAGGGACTGTGTCGCCGAATGCTCCGCAGAAAATTTGCTGCCTCTGAACTGTCCTGAAGTATGTGGCCTACCAACCCTTCAGCAAAACTCTCTAAACAATAACTTTGTAATAAACCATCTCCAAACTTTTGCACTACAATATTATAACCGTTAAGAACGGATTTCACAATTAATAGACTTTAAAGCTTGAGAAATCGTCTCCTATATTCATCTGGGACGTGCACGAAATGCCTGGCTGCTGTTCAGCCAACTCGTAGATACAACAGCATCAAAAACCAGAATTAATACTTCTCTCAGTATCGTGCATGAATAGTGAGTAGCAGTGTAACGTGTGCAAAGCTATGAATCCGCTAGAAGTTTTCTCGGTGATGAATTAGTAATGAAATATTCAAGCAACATAAAGGTTATTTCAAAGCTACTAAACAGCTCTCACTTTTCATTTACTGCCTATTGTTTCTTTAATTGTAGGGTATCAAACGAAATATAACCATAATGACCCGAGACTTTGCAAAACTCCGGACCGCTGGTGTCTGCAATGGTGTGCAAAAAAGCTATTGCCGTATCCGTGGACAAACACGTTCACCACCACACTATGTGGGTCCTTCGTTTCTCCTGCCTCTCAGCTAGTTTTCTATCTACCAGTGCCATCACCAATCACCCCCAAATCGGCAATGAACCAAGTTAAGCTGAAGCTCTGGCTTGAATTTTTGCAAACATCTCAGCATAATTATGGTTAAAATACTGTTGTTATGAATTGCATGGATGATAGATCTGAAAAATAGTCAGTTTTCAAAAGATATCTCGTGCTTCACTGAGACTCAACTCCAGTCAGGGGTTAAGTCCCTCTTTCTACTGCATCGATTTGACACTTATGTTCGGCGCTTAAAAAAGCACATTAATGCGTGCTTGCGTAGATGTGTTCTCGTTTATAAGAATTACATTCTACGAACCACTCTGAAATACTGCAATCAAAAGATGGGAAACTCTATGAGAGACGCTTAGGAATCACTTCCAACAAATGTGTTCCTCGTCTACTCTTCGAGAGACTGGCAAGCCACTAGTGAGTATGCCCAACCCCTACTTCCAGAACTCAGCAAGCTATACATGGTGATCAAACGCTAAACAAAGCAAAACGAGTACCTTAAAAAACCTCCTATATTACGGCGTTGAACAGGACAAGTACAGAAAAACTACTAGAATCTCAAGGTCATTCTAGGCTATCTCAACCGCAAAGAACTAACGTGACGATCTGTACCTACAATGCACTCACACTTGCATCTGAGTCCTCGACAGCGAATTTGATCATGCAGGCCGGATGGATAAGGTGGGACGTCATCACATTAGCTGAGACGAGAGGACGCCACCCATCGAACGTCGTCTACGACACTAGAGGAGAACTGTTTCTCGGAACATGCGACAGTAGAGGAGTCGGCACGTTCGCGTTCTCATCAACACGAGTTTGGCCACGAATATCAACTCATTCGAACAAGTAACAACCCGAACCCGGACAATCACGATTGAAAAAATGTGGATCATTTCCAGCTTTGACAAATTTTGCCGTTTACGCTTCGACATCAAACTATGACGAAGAAGAAGTCGAAGCGTTCTATATGTACTTGGAGAAGTTCTACAGAGAAGACCACACATTCTTCAAGGTCATCATTGGAGATTTCAACGCCAAGATTGGACCAAGAAGAACGTCTGAAAGACGTAACACTGAGACCCACGGATTAGAATGGGACGAGCAGGGTGAGCGGCTGACCGAGCTTCTCATGACGGCCAAGACAATCCATGGTAACTCGCAATTCCAGAAGAGCTGGACGTAGGAGTCTCCCAATGGAGAGCACCATAACGAAATAGACCATATCATAGTAAATAGAGGGTTTTGCCCAATCGATGTCGCTGCTGTCCCAAAATTCTACACGGGATCAGACCATCGTCTCCTTCGTGCAAAATTCTATTTCTCGCGGAATGGAGAAAAAGCCGCTAAATTCCAACACCGAAGTCCGAGAACCACCATGAACTGGGACTTATTCAATTCATTAGTCAGCTGTTGGGAAGATACCGTTGTCAATAACATCGGCGAAAAATACGATCGGCTCATTCGACATCTTCACGTTAGTGCTATGAAAGCGAAAGCTGAGATCTCGAAAATCACCAAAAGACGCCTGTCTCCAGAAACAGAGCTGATACGCCAGCGTGGCAATACATGAGCTGCAGCTAACCGCGAACTAACGTCCGAACTTGCAAAAACAATGCAGACAAGCGATAAAAGAAAATCTTAAAAAGAAATCAGCAGCAATTATGGTTAAAGCAGCAGAGGCTGGGTAAAGCACTCACAAAATAAACAGGAACATCGCCAATTACAAAACCAAAATAATGGCACTTCGACGCATTCACGCGATAGCAGGACTTGTAGAATTATCGTAAGGATACAAAAGACCGCTCTGTCTCACTTTTATCGATCTAAACAAGGCTTTTGACCAATCGTACTATTGGTCAAAAAGAAACACGTCAACGATATCGGCAGCTATCGCCCAATTTGCTGTCTGTCCTCTACAGACCTTTGATTCGAGTCATCCTAAACAAGATTGACGGAACACTGGACGAAGGGCAGCCATGTGAGCGGACCATATCCACACGATAACAAGACTCAATGAAGTATCGCGAGACTTTTGACTTAGTTGAGATGGAAGCAGTCATGGAAGCCCTGGAGAGTCAGGGTCCCCCTGCTAAGTACATAAAGATTCTTCGTGAGCTATGTAAATTTTTTGCAACCAAGATATCACCATTTTACAATGATGTTAACATCGACGTAATGAGGGGAGTTCGACTACACGCTACCATCTTTTACTGTCGTCTTACAGAATGTCAAACAAATACTGGAATGGGCCAACAAGGTAGCAAAATCTAAATCGTAATTGCAAAATACTTCACTTTGCTGATTCCCATATTCGTCATTCTTATAACACCAATCAAGGTAGAACGAATGCTTGACGACTTTGACAACGCTTGTGGAGAAATTGGTCTTCGATTAAAACTCACAAAAATAATGTTCATGAGGAACGGAATCGTTAAGCATGCCCGTTCACCCTCAAAGAAATTAATAGCTGTTAATGCTCCAGCTACCCCTACCTAGGTTGGAGAATCAACATGATGAACGACTTAGCATCAGAGTTGAGCAGAAGGAAGTGAACGGCCTGGGAAGTTTTCAAAAAGATTGAGGATGTAGTGAGGAGAACAAGGAACACCCGACCTCTGCCCACCTTTTTGACTCTACAATTCTCTTTGCCACAACGGATGCATCAGATTGGTCTTTACGTACGCAAGATGAGAGACCACTCAGCGTTATCCAACGCGCAGAGGACGGTGATAGTTTTTCGCATCACGCAAGTGATAGAGGGTGCTAAACTCCCACTTATGTTAACGGTTAAAAACCAACGCCGTCTTACATGCATGCCGAATTGTCGAAGATAAGGCGGGCCGGGCAAGTAATGCATCTGAGTGCGAAGCGATCTATAGGAGCTATTAGCAGCTGGGCTCCTTGGGAATTCAAACGCTCTGCAGGAAGACCACCGAACTAATGGCCAGAGCTTTGGGCAAAAGTACTAGAAAAAAGTTATAAAATTCAACGACTCTCTAGAGCGAACAAAACCCACTGACCTACCGGTATACGTGACGGAGAGAAATGGAAGATTTACTCAAGGCCGCTCGAGTCACTTGACGACCAATTCGAAGAACTACTAAGGAATACAAAGTACAAAGTCTGCTTCAGAAACCTCGTCATAAAGAATTCAAGGGAAAAATGAGGAGTCCTTCTGCTATTGACGACAATGAATCAAAGAGTTTGGTGGAAGCAAATACACAGAACTGTTCGAGAGATTACAGAAGAAGTCGGTGCACCTAGAAAATTGGTAACTCGAAGAAGCTCGTCAAATCAACTCCAGACGAACTAGATTTTAGAAAACTGTCAAAACCCTGATGTTCTAAGAAATTGGCGAAATGCATTAACCTATGTCACATCTGCGATCGGCATAACTCATTAGAATGGACCTATTTCTCTTACGTGACAGCACCTGACCAGCACTCACGCGAAAGCACTCCAAAAGTTGAAAGAATTAAAATCTGAAATTCTGACTCCCTTAGCATATTCGCAGAGCATTTACAAAATATATGACCACCTATTCAACCATCTTCCCATCATCTTTTGACAAAATCATTCTGAACAACCAAGCTGATGTGATTAACGTCTTCTAATGATTTAGTTCCAGTAGTCTACAGGTATACTGTGTTAACAAAAAAAGCCTCGTGATTTTTAGCTGTATTAGTAAAGCTTGTAATAAGATGCGATATCTTCGTTTGAGGTTGAATGTTGAAGACCTGCATTGTCTTCTGAGAAGACATTCTAAGCCCTCGTATTTCAGATTGCGCTATGTCCCGCCTCTTCGCCGTCGGTTCCCTGCTTTTCGTAGGTGTTGCTCTTCGTGATCAATCCATAGCTGTCAAAGGACGACTCACTTGTGGAGCGAAGCCAGCAGCGGATGTGCTGGTAAAACTGTGGGACGAAGACATCGGTGAGTGGTGAAGTGAACAACATCTCTTGTCTCTTGTTTCAGTGTTTCTTGGTGTTGATCGGTAAATAGGAAAGCACGTCTACTTTTTTCACTCTAAGAATTTCTTTCAACATTGGTCTATTTCAGTCTGCGATATAATCACAGGTTGATTATTCAGGTGAATATTTAGCCAAAGAAATTTTCTCCGTATTTTTGCTGAGCAAATGCGAGGTGTTATTTTTCTTTGTTCACGATTAAGCTGACGTTTCGGCGAATTTCGACTTCCTCAGAGCCGCTTCCTATGAGGTTTCCACTAAGTCGTGGCAGTTAGCCAAAGAACTTCTTCTGTAAATTTCCGATGGCTGTTGGTCGTCAAAGCTTGGGTACCGATCCTACTTCGTTGAAGTTGTCAAAGAGCTTGTCATAAAAAAAACTTTAAGAACCTCGAATAAGTAAGCTCCGAATGGTCCAAACTGTAATCTATTGGAAGAATGTAACGCCGTTTCTCAGCACAGTGCCTTCCGTATGTAATGAACCATACAGCTGTGTTCAATCGAATGCTGCTGTGGAGAAAAAAAGTTGATCGTGCCCCATTCGATACCTTCACGTAGAATCAGCATGGCAAAGAAGCTGACTCTGATGGAGTATGGGAGCGTAATCTCGATGGTGGACTGGTGATATTCAAATGCTGCTCATTGTTACCGGCAAAGGACCATCGATGCTAATTTCCGCAAACTCTGAGGTTAGCTCCACTGGCGACGAAGAACGACGACCTAGACGACATGTTCGCGAAATGTGCCGCTAACCCATAACGCATGATGTGGACCCTATGGTGCCCATTTTCAGTCTAGTGCGTTCGAAAATTCTTTTAGCATATTCATTCGACAGTTGATTGAAAGCAGATCGAAATATTAAGGGTATAACCACAAAAACCTTTTTCTACACCTAACGATTTACAAAAAACCTTTCCTCGATAAGGTTTACTGACTGGTAGTTTGACTAGCAACTAATTAACGTTTCATTTCAATCATTATGATCATCGTATGGGATTTGCAGATATAAAAAAACCGAAACAGACTCAAAATAAGCTGGAAAATACTTCCAAGTGTTGAGAACAATGTATTTGCATAAAGGACCATCCTAACAAGCAGTAAGCAGCAGCATACATTACATATCATTCGTGCCCATAAAACGAAGTTCTTCCACAATTCAATTGCGCTCACAACCTCTAAAGCGCTCCAGCTGGTAAAAAGTTACTTTCTAATGGCAGAAAACCAGGAAGTCGCAGCCGACTAAGAACTGCTCGTATTCGACCGTGTCAGCCGCGCTAAACAGCATGCGTCCGTTATGAGCTAATCTTGGCGGCGATGGAAGTCGTGCTGCTGTCAGATAACTACTAAATCGTAATGAATTCGATGTTTGTTCTTATAGTTTACTGCTACGCTTATATTTATAGTGGAAGACTTCTTCGTTTCGGCAATGCCGCTACCTTTACTGCCGGATGAATTCAGCTTAAATGTCTGGGACAGATTTATTTTTCATGTTGTGTTGGTGTTAATGGGAAAATATACAATGAACATTATATGTCGTTTAAATTTAGTAGAAGATGGTCCTTGATCAAGTACCCATTCAATGATTTATAAATTTATTTCATCAAAAACGACTCGCTCTGTGGCTATCCGTCGCGTTCGGGATTCGCTCACCTCTGGTCTTATTGCTCAACTTAATGAGCCTGCATGCTGCTTTGAAATGACGTGTTAGGGAGACTGTTCTGAGACGCCCTACAAAAGATCTGAACAAAATTCATTTACAGGATAAAAGGACAGAGCTTCCCAGAGATTAACCTCTGAGAATGCCCATGAATTCCACTTCGTTAAGCATCGTTAACGTGACTGAATGCGTATTTGCTCCACAGAATGATTTGCGAAGCCTACCGATATATCGAGTCACTTCTGCTATCCTTTCAGACTAGTTTATCACCAATTTGCCAACCGTTAAGGAATGGCAGGTTTGATGAGCTCAGCAGTATGTCGGATTGAACCACCGAGCGATACAGCGTGTATCGAATGGTACGTATAACCACCGCGCTACACGTGCCTTATGGTGCAGCTAGACTGTTTAAAACAAGAAAAAAGATCCGAATTGCTGCACTGCTTTTCCATCTTTCATCTTCGTAATTGTTTTCCTCTGTCTCAGATTAATTTTACTTTCAAAATTCTTAAGAGTATGTGAGCATCCTCATAGCACCTCGCTACTGTATATCCTACTTGAATGTCTACCACAAGAAGCTAACCATACACGAAATATGCTCACTCTTGTCCTAAAAACGCTAATTGCTCAACTCTGTGATCAAAATGCAATTCACATTGTGTTATACTGACTGAACAAAAACCACCACGGATTACAAGTAATCAGCGCAAAATTCTACTGCTTTCACTTGACAGATGTCAATCCGTTCTCATGGCTTGATCCTCATGACCTGCTCGACTTGAACCACTCCAATTCGAACGGAGAATTCCAACTCGCTGGAGCAACAACGGAATTCACGGCAATGGAACCTGTTTTGAGCGTCTATCATGACTGTAACGATGGTATTAAGGTAAGAAGAACGACATCAATTTTCAATTGAATGCCAGATACTAATGAAATTTCTGCTCATTGTCTAATACTTGATAATTGAATCAGCCTAGCCAACGTCTGCCCCAGGTCTTCACCATTACAGACGGTGGCAGCTCTTGTGGATCAGAGGGAAATTTGCCACCATGCGACTTCGATACCAGGACGGTAGTGGATATTGATAATGGTTTACTCTTAGCTAGGCTTCCTGATGGAAATGCCGGACTCCTTTTCATCTTGGGAGACCCTGCCAGAGGATGAATTCAACCGCTGTACATCGCATTTCGACACCCAGGAACACCTCCCAACCAACCGTTGGATTGTATAACACAGTAGAATATAAATGCTGCATGTTAATAAGTTGTGTTCTATACCCACTTGTTACAAAATAACGAATTATTTTGAGGCGAAATCGGCGAACCAAAGGATTGAAGAGCGCGAAAATCTTTAAATAACTAGGAATACGCAATATGCAAAAATAGTGGTAGTGAAAAGCATTCAACTTACTTTTTCTGGTAAACATAAGCCTTGAATCCATAAACTTGTGCGCTACTTGTCAATCCTTTTTTCCTCCTTGAGAATTTTCCCTGTAAAGAATTGAACGCATACATAAAGCTTCTCTCAGTTTTGATTGGATATCCCATTTTTCGACGATAAATAAAGGATAAAGCTATCGTAGTTGATCAATCCCTGAGGGATGCGCCATACACTCGACTTCATTAGGCATCGTTTGGAGGTGGTTTAATGCTTATCTGGCCTTTGCGATCACCTGCGGTGGCCTACCGATGTATCGAGCCAGTGCTGCTATCCTCCCATGTCGGATACCAATTTGCAGACTCCAGAAAGGTGGAAGGCTAGGTGGGCCATGGGCGCGGGTCCGATTCCACGTGTGTGTTGCAGGGCGCCTCCGACCACTGCGCCACACGCGCCACACCATTTTTTGATAGTACTCATAGTGAAGCAGATTTTTAACCAGCCACGTCGAATATTTCTAGGGGCATTGAGAACATTTGTGTTTCCTTTATAGTGGTAAAAGATTTAAGGGGATAATCACAGCAGGCAAGTTCTGCTTTGAACGAATCATTGAGAATGCGGATTCAACTGCTAGAAATATTTCGAAAGCCGTGATAGGTGAGAGTAACTAGGTGATCCGTCTTTTTAACACTGTAAACGGGTTTGTCATAAGACTGAAATTGTTCTCTCATCTTTCCTCATGCAGAAAAAATATTTAGAAAGATTTAGAGCGGCGTGCGCAAGTTGAGTATTGGACTTCCGGATCAGTACATCACGGCTGGTAGGACACCACTGAAGACCGTCGATATCGGTATCATCAACTTGGAGCTCAGTTATAAAAAGGAAGAAAGAGTGGATGATGATGAAGAAGAAATTTTGACCAAGTAGAAGTATCTTATTCTGACTGAATAAACGAGAAAAATTCTAGAACTGCCGTTTTAACTCTTGAATGTGTTTCATCATTGACCCATTGAGAAATCACAAAAGAGCCAAAAACTCTTGTCGGCTCACCTATCGTTATACTTTTCCAGCCTTGATACTTTCATTTACATACTTCCCATTAGTGTTGCTCTCACTGAAACCGATTTCCTCCGAAAATTTTGGCCAATAGATGCACCGTCGAATAAATCCAATGACATAACAAATTCCTGGAATACCGTGTTCGTTCATTTTTTCGTGTTGCACCATTTCCTTTCTAATCACTAATCAAAGTAATAATTATGAGTTTTTAAAAATAACAAAGTTGTTAACCGATAAAAACATTATCGAAATAGCCAGTTATGACCTCCTAATAAAAAGAAAAGTCGAATAATCATAATACAAAGGTTGAAAGCTTTCGGTGTTGATCAATCCCTGAGCGATGCACCATGCATTCGCCTTCATTAAGCATCACTAAAGATGATTGAATACATATCAGGTCCATACAATGACTTGCGGTGGCTTGGCGATGTATCAAGTCAGTGCTGCTATCATCTCAAGCAGGTGTGGTACCAATTTCCCCATCCGGAAAGGATTGAAGGCTTGCTAAGTCTGGCTGCGAGATCGGATCCATGTGCATTGCAGCGAACACCTAACCACTGCGCTACACGAAACCATAGCATACTACCTGAAAACTCCGTCGATAAGTTGGCGCATATGGCCTTCTCCATCTTCAAAACCGTGTTTTCAACATAAAACCTTAGGCTCATTTACCAATTATTCTTTCAGAAGCCCTTTCCCAGCGCCATACTTCGATTTTATTTCGACTTGCTATAACTGCTTTATTTCAAGCTGCAACTCGTAAAAACAAATGGTGCGATTTTCAACCCTTCAAAGCATAAATTAAGCCGCTCCGAACTCACTGTAAGTGTCAGAGAAGTAACGCAGTTTAATAATTGGGCACTGAAACGCCAGATATTTCAGTTTTCGTTTTGTTTTCTGCGACTGGATGGAAACGACATTTTATTGGTTTCCCGGAAATTAATGCATGATTTGCAATTTTATTTCCCTTCTATAAGTCCTGGGAATATTTTTCTCCTCTGCAGTACCCTGACATATCAATGCAAAACTTATTTTAAGCTCTTCTGCCCCTAATAATTGAATTATAATGTGTGTTTTTTGATTAATTTTAGGCTTGAAATTTCAGAAGTTAGAACAGAAATCTCGACAAGTTCATATTTACGAATGCAAACTTGGAAGTACAGCAAGGCGAACGGCTCGAAGCACCAATGAAGTACGGAGCCGGAGAAGTGTTAATGAAAGCACTAATGGGACTTTGGCTTCAATAATGTGACCGTGATGAATTCAACGAGATCGTAGACGCCTCACTGCTTTTGGCGACCATGAATTTCAGGCTCTGATAAAAAAAAAATACCTTGAAAAGACTGAAAAATCGAAGGAGTTCGATAAGGGTGATGAAGAACTTTATGGATCATGCCCACGATGGAATGCAGTTCCATGTCGAACTATCGAAATTGTAAAGATTGAACGCGCAAGACTACGAAACTCTGCCTTGTCCAACATAACTGCAGAACGTCTCATATAGGTACAACTACTTATTCAAGCATTTCGAGAACTTCCTCTGCAAGAAATGCTTCGGACACCAAGCCAAGTTCGAAAATGCACTCAATGATTTTATGCCTCCAGAAGTTTAGAATCTTATGCTTGAGAGTATTCGGTCCTTCCTACGAATATTGTTGAATGCTGGTCGAGTCGATTCTTCCTTGAGTCTTGAGATAACAGTGCAAAAGCATTGCGAGACCTTGATCATAGACAAATGTCACGCTTTTTTTTCTAATGTAGGGAGAGAATTGACTTCAGGCAACCCTATTACCAACATCAGAACTCCGAAAGAGTGCGAGCCTACTTGACCCAGTACGACATTGAACCAAAAAGCCACTTACTGCAATTTGAAGTATTTTGCAATTTATATGTCCCTATTTTAGAATTTATTAAACCGTATCCTCTATAGGATAACTCTCATTCAGAATAGCAATTAGAATAGATATGAGCACCCAAACTACCTCGAGTTGGTGAACTCGTTCGGAAAATGGCTCCTTGTGTATTTCTAAGTGTGGAATGCGGCTTTCCTTCATCAACGCCTAGCACAACATATGAGTTCTAGAAGCTACTGGCAGCAAAAAGTGTAGGAAAATAGTTCTATGAGTCAAAATAAACTACCTGAAAGAGAATGGGACCTGTAGGTGTCTTACCGCCCACTCCCACATCCATAGGTGTCATTCGTCGGGAGAGTGTTTCTTAACACCAGCACGGAAAAGAATAATATTTCTTCGACAACCACGATGCATCATTGCGCATCCAATAAACCTCCAGATGACTAGTGGGTGACTAACGCAACCAGTTGCATCTTCTACGCCGACATTCACTTATACTCACTATGATTAATCAATTTCTTGACTTATTAAGATTCTTCCACTGACCGCGGACCTCTCTCATAGAAAGAGCTAATCCCGATCAGGCGCTAGCCAACGTAGAACTTCTTCAAGTGGCGAATAGGCAGTTAATCGCGGACGAAAAGCGATACTTTCTTCTCTGAGACGCAGGTGGACGAAGGCGATGGACTCCCTGTTTTTGCACCGCCGATTTGCCACAAAGTTTCTGTACTTACTCATCCATGCGTACGTTTGCGCATTCTCTTTTATGCGGATTACAATCTATCTACAGGTCAATTCGGTCAAAAGCACGCAATCATGTGACAGGGAAATATATGGGAGGCAGTTAAAAGTCGCCTCCAACAAATAAGCTCCTGCTCTACTCCTGGAAAGACTGGCAAGCTACCTATGAATGTACCCAGCCCCCACGTTCAAAACAGCAAGCTACACGTGGATATCAAAAAGCTAAAAACAGTGAAAGGAACGGGTCCCATTCCCCTGACCCCGAAAGAGCCCCTGATTTGGCAGCGTTGGGAAGGGAGAAGGACGAGTACAGAGAGGTTGCTGAAGTCTCACAGCTATACTCGCAAAGGACTAAGGTAACGATCTGTACCTACAATTTATCCAAATTTGCATCTGAGTCCTCGATAGAGGATTTGATCATGCAGGGAAGAAAGGGTAAGGTACGACGTCACTGCACTGGCCAAAGCGAGAAGACTACACCCATTCAACGCTGTCTATGACACCGGAGAAGAGCTGTTCCACGGAACATGCGACAGTAGAGGAGTCGGCCGCCCCGCGTTCAGTTTGGCTATTCATTCGAAGAACTAACAACCCGAATAGGATATTTTTGATTGAAGATATGTAGACCAATACCGGCTTTGGCAGTCTTCGTCGTTTACACGCCGACATCAAACTATGACGAAGAAGTCGAAGCGTTTTGTGTGAACTTGAAGAAGTTCTACAGAGAAGACCATACATTCTCTTCAAGGTCATCATTGGAGATTTTAACGCTAAGATTGGACCCAAAAGATTGTCTGAAGAACGTAACATCGGGGCCCACGGATCAGAATGGAACGAGCAGGGTGAGCAGCTCTCTGAGTTTATAATGGCGCCAAAACCACTCATAGTAACTCGCAGTCCCAGAAACCCCACCCCCAATTATGGACGTGGAGTTTCCCATTGGAGAGTACCACAACAAAATAGACCACATCACATTAAATTGAGAGTTTTGCATAACTAATATCACTGCTGTCCCAAAATTCTACACGGAATCAGACCATCGTCTCCTTTGTACAAAAATCCATTTTTCGCTAGAAAGCAGAAAAATCCACTAAATTCAAAAGATGTAGTCCAAAAACCATTACAAAGCAGGATTTTTTAGCCCATTCGTCAGCTGTTTGGAAGGTGCCATTTTCGATAACATCGACTAGGAATGCGATTAGCTCATTCAACATCTTTGCGTTAGGACTAAGATAGGTGAGAATTCGATAGCCGTAAAGAGAAATCTGCCTCCAGAAACACTCGAGCTGACGCGCCAGTCACATGAGCTACAGGCAACTGCCAACTCGTATGCGAACTTGCCAAACCATTCAGACAGGCGATAAAAGAAGATCTTAAAGGAAGAGAAAGAATTCACAACCAAGACAACACCATTCTACAACGACGTTAACACCAATGTCTAAACAGGGGTTGGTCAAGGCGATACCATCTCCCCAAAATTATTTACCGCTTCCCTCGAGAATGACACGCGAACATTGGAATTGAACAGCTTACTTAGGAGGGAAAATCGATGGTTGGCAATTATACCATCTTCGCTTTGTTGATGACATTGTTTTTATACCAACGAACATTAGCCAAGCGAAACGAATGCTTGTCGACTTTTATAAAGCCTGTGTAAAGACTAGTTTTCGAAGAAAAAAACTCACAAAAACGATGTTCATGAAGATCGGATTGGTTTCGCATGCCCCATTCACACTCAACGGAACGTATATCTTCGAATGCTCCAGTTATGTCTATCTAAGTCGGTAAATCAATATGAAGAACGACTTAGCTCCAGAGCCGAGCAAAAGAAAACGAGTGGCTTGGGGAGCTTTCAAGAGCATCGAGGATGTAATGAAGAGGACAGAGAACACCCGACTCCGTGTCCAGCTTTTCGACTCCCCTATTCTTGTTGCGTTAATATATGCGGCAGAAACTTAGTCGCTAGGCAAGCAGAATGTCAGTTATCGTTATTGAACGCGCGGTCGAAAGGAGGGTGCTAGGTGTATCCCGTGTCAAACAAGTGAGAGGAAGGATCCGAAGCTTCGACGCGTGTAAACGATCAAAATCGAAAGATGTCGTTCTATACACCAAACTGCTGAAGATAAAGTGGGCCGGACACGTAATGTTTATGAACAACAACCGATGAACAAGAGGTGTTAGTGACTGGATTCCTTGGGATGTCAAATGTACCGCAAGAAGACCACCGAGCCAATGGTCATAGTGCTTCACGAAAACCATATAACAAAGATATGATGCTCAACCGGTCCCTAAAGCGAGCAAAACCCACTCGGCCATTCTTGTTCGCGACATGGACGAAATAAGATCTGATTTGCACATTATGCCAACATACCTGGCTCACCGCGTGATATGTGGATCGTCTGCTCACTAGAATTTAGGCCAAACAAGGATTTAGAGAGTAAGAAAAACGCTGGTCCGGCACGAGATCCCGGGCTAAATGAAGGTGATTTATCAAATATGGAGAAGATAAAGCATTAGAATCCACCGAATCGGAGAGGTTTTAGAACCGTGAGAATTTCAATCAGAACGCTGAAGGACTAGCCGATTAAAAGAGGTAATAGCATTACTGTACAACAATATAGACAGACCACTTGACGAACGCGCTGATGTTTTCGTGCGGTGCTCCACTCTACTCTATTTGATTCGATGCGACAACTAAGAGAACCTACACCGTGAGAGACAGCTGCTATGGACACTCTACTGGGATCATCACAGCTCTGACCGTACAAGAAAGCTATAGAGCATAGGCAGCACCACGTTTTGCGTCATTCTCTATGACCCTGCAAAATCAAACTGCAAAATCGTTCAACAGGGGTTGTCCCATTTCTGCGATCCAAAATCGAACATCGATTGAAAATGCTTTCCAAAATAGTTCACAACCGAACACTGCAATAAAATCAAGCGCTAATCCTAGAAAGGCTGGTATTTGCATGGCAACTTATGAGTGAGTCGCGAGCAAATCCGTCTTAGCCTAGTTCGGCGTCCACCTGTTGTAGTTTCACTGCTGTTCACATCAGAATTAAGACGATTGTTACAAATTCTGTCGTGTGAACCCATTTCCCTTTCAGTTTTCTCACTTTACACTGTTTAAAAGCCTAACAACTGACTTAATATTCGCTTTTTTTGACTAAGTCAATTTTCAAGGCATGGACAATTAACTAGGCTTCGAGATTGTCCGGAAGCAATACTACTGTAACTTTCTCGTATTAGGTCGTGCGACCGAAAAAGATGAGATCTGGATGCGAAAGTGCCAAATTTATCTTTTCGGTTGCTTACGAAACTTTTTTCTTCACAAATTCCTCCACAGAATTCTTCAACATGAAGTTCTAAAGTCACCATTTTTTCCACATTCATTTTTGAAGCGCTTATGAATACTGGACATTTCTGCAAGTTGTTTCTTGAAAATAGTGGCCATTAAAGGTAAAATAAATATTGATTGACAGAACATCTTTCCCTCTTGAGGAATAAATAATTTAACTAGTCGATTTAAGACCTCCACAATTTGAAAACAACTTTGGAAAGTTTCTTTTACAAAACGACGAAAATCTTGTCTTCTCTGGTGCTGCAAGGACACCTTTGACGGAATCATTGCTGACACTAAGGTTGTGAGGATTGATGACAAGCAATTACTTAAACTCCTTACACAATCAGTTTGAAAACCAGTTTTTAGTATGGTATTATACCCTGATAATGCCTGCTTATAAGATTTTCAATATATTCATATTCAGACAAGGTTGATGGAGTAGTAGAATGGAGGCTTTTAAAAGACCTTCGACTCGTTAAAGCTACCAATTTCTAGCGCCTCGTTTGCATAGCAGACTATGTTAAACATATTCAAGTCACCATATTTGATTAAAATCATGTAACTGTGGCTACTAGTAACCCTCTTCTTACACGTCTTTGAAGTCTGGAAATAAAGTCGATGTTAAGACAAAGGAAAATCTTCCTTCTACAACGATCTCTACAATTAGCCGATGTTACCCGCAGTGTTTAATGTATTAGAGAATACCTTGTTACAAAATCAGTGATGTCAATACGATGGACGACCTGTTAGATCAGAACGAGGGTGAAGATTCAACTGGTGATTGTGCGAGGGGTGCTTTCTCATTTCACTTTCATATCGACCAACTTGCGGGTACTGCCATGTAAACAATCAATTAAGCCAACGTATATGCTTAAGAGTAATTTCATCGAGTTCCAAATTTAGTTTTGTTCCAATAAAACTCAGGTTTCAGAATTATTAGAGTGGGACAAAGATTTGGCTCTTGACCGGAAACAAAGAGTAGATAGCGTGATTGCCATCTCGTAATTTGAATTTTTCATTGACACTGTGATTTGTAAAGAATTAGTGCAGAGAAAAGCAGACTGCAGCACTCGTTATACTTCTGTTTAGCTTTGGTAACGAAAGATGAAGTTTGCTTGAAATACGTGATTCCTACACCAATGACAGTCAAAAAGCTAGTTATTAGCAAGTGTAATTTTTAAGGTAGGGACTGAGTTGTCGAAGATTAACCTGAAAGATTTAGGAATTTAACGGTAGTCGTACCAACTCTAGTGCTACAGAGAGCCAAAGGGCTGACAAATGATGAACTCAATGATGCATACACACTGAGGCGAAATCTGCCATTATTTCTCGAATTAGCTCTGATTTTTAAAAAGAATGTCTTTTTGAGGATGCTACTTCTACCAATACTCTTTGTTGGGCATTCACTTGCGTTCTTCTTCCCGATAGATGGCAGCGGATGTAAGTGCACACCCTGTCCAGAGCCAGTAACGTGCCCTCCAGGACCAAGCTGCGCCATTCCATTACCTTGCCCTCGTGGACTGGACTACGCCGCTCCTGCTCGATCTGGTGAATCATCTCAGGTAACTGGAATAAACTACAGTAAACGTATCCAAATGTAACTCCCAAGTCCGACTTTCTATTAACCTCGGCAATGATTGAATAATTCTTTCTACTTCTGTTCAGCAAACACGAGGTGTTACTTTATTCCTTTATTTACGCGCAAGCTGACGTTTCGGCGGGTTTCGCTTTCCTCAGAGCCTGGAAAGGTCAAGTTGACTACAATCTACACGGCCAAACACCTCCATTACCAAACAGAAAATGCTGAACCAAAATTTCAATCACATTGGACACAGAATCTTTGCTCACTCACGCAACTCTAGCGACAATAAGGTCCCGTTCATACTGCCCTTCAAAATGAAGTAAGTGGAGCTATAAAACGCTCTTTAAGAAGGGCCGGTCTAGAGAATTCGGTAACGATAATTGAAATACCACCGAGTAATCTAAGACGCCAGCTAGTTCGTAACTGCCTATACGACCGGCTATGTGCAACGCAAAATTGCATAATTTGCCCCAATGGTAGAGACGGTGACTGCATGAGTTCGGGTACATTCTATCTGATCTCTTGTACAGCGTGCGAAGACGAATACGTTGGCGAAAAGGGTAGACCACTCTGCGTCCGCATAAAAGAACACTTAGTCGGCAAACGTAAACCAAATACTCCATTAGGCACGCATAGGGCGCAGAGACATAACGGAGATTTTGAAGTAGGAGTAACGATCCTCGCTCAAGAATAGAGAACACAAGCGCGCAAAACTCTAGAGGCATTCTGGATTAATTCCAAGAATCCGAAAATGAACCCCAGGGAGGAATGCCTCATTATCACACGTGATACTGGGCAATATATAAGCCTGTTTTTTGATGAGATGGGCACAATACGATTCCGTGTGAACTCTGCGGTTGGTCTCCACGTGACATATTAAATGGAAGATTCATAGAAAGCGGTGAGACTTTGTGTTGTCTGTTAAAAGACTTTGTGTTCAATGTGATTGAAATTTTGGTTCAGCATTTTCTCTGTTTGGTTATGGAGGTGTTCAACCGTGTAGATTTCAGTCAACTTCACCTTTCCAGACTCTGAGGAAGGCGAAATCAGCCGAAACGTCAGCTTGTACGTAAATAAAGAAATAAAGTAACACCTCGTGTTTGCTGAACAGAATTAGAAAGAAGTATCCAAATGTTTCGATATGCTCACCTCACATCTCCAAATAGAAGGTTATAGCGGAATTCACTGAAGTGTAATGCATGGATTCCAAATCCTAACGGGTTAAAAGGTCTTGAAAAGCTAAATGGTGGAAGTGGTCCAGTTAGCAGAATGCTACTAACGTCTTTTTATCCTCAAACGTTAAGAAAACATTACGCCTCTTTAGTCTGTTGTACAATAATATCCAACTTATTTGTAGTATTGGAATGATTTTACCCCTTGTTATTTTTGAACACTACTTGGCACTTAAATGGCTCATCTTTGCATGAATTTCTGACTCCAACACTTCTTAAACTTGCTTTTTGCTACAACAATTCCACACAAAGGTACTCAAGTTCGTCTATGGGTTCTGCTGCGATTTGCTGCCCTTCCCTAAAACTCTGAGAGTACGGTGCTGGGCATTCCTCAGGTCTTCAACACACACAACTCCCGTAATCAAACGAGGATTAGGCTGCTTTGGCCTTGGATATTCAAAGGTCGACAGTTATTCCGGCGATTAATCGACCGCCCGATGTTACGGGAAATATTACTAAGAAATCGAAAATCAAAAATACCTTTATATGATAGCGATGAGCCAATATTTTTCACATGACGAATACAACTTTTGTCACGATTCTAATAAAAGAACGAAAGATAAAGCTCTCGGCGTTGATAAATCCCTGAGAAATGCACCAAGTATTTGACATCATTTAACATCATTAGAGGTGATTGAATGCATATCTAGTCTATAAAGTAACTCTCGCTGGCATACCAATTTATCAAGCCAGTGCTGCTATCCTCCTAGACAGATCCGGTACCAATTTTCCCACCTTGGAGAGATGGAAGGCTTAGTGACCCTGGGGAGTGAAATCGATCCCACGCGTATTAGAGGGCGCCTTTAACCACCGCACTGCACATACCCTCATGATTACCTGGGAATCCTTATTTGGGAATTAGAATTCCAAAAATAATCTACCACGTAAAAACTCGCTCTTTTATCTGTTAAGCAACCACAAATAACGTATAAAATATACCATGGAAACAAGATCCTCAGGCAGCAGTTACCCGTCGGCGGAAAAATTTCTCCTTTAAGTACAAAACGGTATTGAACCTGTTAAGCTAAAGCTGAAGTTGAAATCACAATGTTTTAACTTTTATTTACTTCCTATTCCTTTTCTATGGTATGGTTTCATGTTAAATACATTCACACTACACTCTACTATAAAAAAGGAATAGACAACAAGTACAACTTAAAACATTACGATTTCGAATGCAGATTCAGCATAACTTTGTTCATTACTGACTTGTGCCTCCAAATCATTGCCGTTAACGTGTGACTGCTGATACCACCGTTAGGGTAAAAAATGGCCTGAGAGAAAGACAAAGCAAGGGGTTCGGTTGCTGCACTGGACAAAATGCGAGTCCCCGGAAAGGGTAATTGCGGGTTCGAAGCGCACTTGAAGTTTCGAGTTCTAACCACATCTCAGCATGATGAGACTGAGAAAAAGACGAAACGAAGGACTCGCATGGTGTGGTGGTGAACGTCTTAGTCACCGGAAAGGGTAATAGCGTGTTTGATCCCCACCGCATACATCAGCAGTTTGAAGCTTTACAAATACAGCACATTATTGTAGTTATACTTGTAATTGTTTCCCACATAATAACTTGTCATCATAAAGGGAAATAAGAAGTAAATAAAGGTCGAAACGTATTATAAATACCTTCCCTTGGAGAAAAAGGTTCAAATCTTTGTGGAATTTAAAGAGAAGCGGAGTCTGATAATATCACCATCATGCGGAAATCAACTTACATTCTTGCAAATACTTCACTGCTACTAATAAGGCAACAGATCCTCCTACAGAAAAAGGTAGTTCTCTTCTACCAACAACAGTTTTGGTCAACTCAATCCTCTTATGTGCTGCTGAATATTCACTGTTTTCATGACTTTTAGCAAACTACCGTGCCTCCTGAGTTATATGGGTATCGGCAGTGGATCTGATCACCTCCGAAGAGGTCACTCACGATTTGCGTTCTTAAACGCTAAGACAATGGAAACTTTAATTTATTCTTTGTTTTCAACCATTTGCCCTCTTTTAAACCAGCATTCTTTCAAGAGGCGACCACAACAGTTTCTTTCTTTTATCTTTTGTATTGACAGTCAACCCAAAGTCCATATTTATTATGCATATCTGATTTCGTCTAGGTAGCTCCGTACCCTGCTGTGCCGCCTACCTACCAGAAAGTTCAGCCGGTGTATAAGACGGTTGTGCCTACATCGGTCACGAGTTACGTTGTTCCGGAACCACGATACTTGACCCCTGTTCAACCTATACACCCGGTTCAAACCGCTGCCACAACTGAGCAGTATGGAAAAGGGTGAAATAATTTTCCATCTCAAAAAGTGTTGCAAAAAACTACTTTGTTCGCTTATCTGTTTCCTTCAACATTCCCCTGATAAGCTCAAAAAAGAATGACAAAATGAGGAATATAAGTTATCAATTTTGTCAACAATTTTCGAAGAGACCGAAGAATTGGGAAAGGCTTATATTTATTCAAAAGTTTTTTTCATATTTCAAAATTGCGGATGTCATTTATATATATACATATATATATATATATATATATATATTGTATAAATATTTAGCGCGCATAAAGCGGGCGAGCTTCCAACTCTAGCGCCACCAGTCGCAAATACACAGGTAAAGTATTCCTTTGCAAAAACATTGAGTATTAACTCTCTTCACTTAGTATTATTGTTTCGGACAACTACGCATACTCCGGATGCAGAAGAGACTGCTGACACAGAAGACGACGACTCATCACTTGCTCTACTACCATCAACGAAGTCATTTTTTTATCACCACCTTTCTTTTAGTAATAATCGCGATCTTATATCACAAAGTATACCGCTCACATTGGTGTGGAACGCCTAGGTTGTGGTTGTTAGTAGTGCACTTGGCCTCCAGTCTTTCAGCCGTTATGAGTATCAACATATGAATGTGTCGTTTTCTTGTTCAGCAATCGCGAGGTTTTTAAACAGCATACATTTACTTCCATAAAAACACAATACAATACAACGCTAGCTGACGTTTCGGCAGTATCGCCTTCTTCAGAGCCTGGAAGGG